TAAAAAGGGCTGATCATGATGATGTGAGATATAATTTATTGCTACTTATTTAATTTGGTTTATTTTTATTTTTATAAATAGTTTAAAATAATTTATATGCTCTTTTAGAATAATTTATATGGTATTGTTATCTTTTGATTTTGTAATTATTTGTTATTTTAGATTTGACCAATATCTATTTTTGCCGTTAATCTGTTGTTTTTTTCTTAATTATTTTCAAATGCTGTATACGCCTATAAAGGCACTTCATTAAAAGCAGTCCATTATTTTTATATGAATTGTGTAATGATGTTATCGTTGCTGTATCTTAATCAATAAATAAATAAATAATAGGCATTAAAGTTAAGGAGTAGGAGTAATAATAAATATATATATATACTACTTTACTTTTACTATACTTATTGAACACACAAGACGAGTAACAAATTACACAACTTGAGAAAAAAGATCAGAAAGTATACAAAAAGACGGCCTTATTACTACATAGCAATATCTTCCAGGCAACCTATGGAGGAAAATAGATAAATAATAAGGGGTAATGGGTGCAACATGTAAAAGAAAGAACAGATATATCTTAAATAAGGAATATAAAGGAAGTACAATGGATATATTAAATAAAAAAATATAATAATTATTTATGTTCTGGAAAGGAAATGGTGTTTAACATGATTTCAGCGAACGAGTGTTCCTGATGTTTGCTGGCAAAGAGTTGTACAGTCGGACAGCGTGAACAGAGAAGGAAAAGGAGAAGAAGTCAGTTGAGTGGTGAGGAAACTTGACGATAAACAAGTTTTTCTAGAACTTTGGTGAGAAAAGGAAGTATGGATATAGGACGATATTCAGAAAATGATGAAGGGTAAGATTTTTTTTGGAAGCGGAATAACAAATGCGTCCTGGAAGAACGCATTTGTTATTCCGCTCCGGACGAAAAAAGGAAAAACTCCAGTCGAGACTGAATTGTTAAGGATCTTGGTTATAACGGGGACCAGGACGTCTATAATAGGAATGAGAATTTTGCGACTGGTGTAGTCACTACCTACTGCACTAGAGTCAATAGACAGTATTGTCTTCTTAACATCACAGTCCGCAAATCGATGTAGAAAAAAAAATAATCATGAGTAGCCAAATTAGAAAGACGGTGTTAAGTTTCGGCCTTACGATTACTATCAATAAGGACAGAAGTGGAAAAGTAACTATTAAGTCGATCGACATCATCACAAGGAACTCTGTTATGCGATTTGCCAACTCTAAGTGATTTTAGAAATTTCCATACTTTGCCTGGATCTGCATTTTCGACAGACTTGTGAATATGACGTATTTGGGCGTCCCTAATCACCGTATTGCACCGATTCCTAGCTCGATTATATTTTGCCTCATTTACGTTTGAAAAATCGTGTCCGTACTTTACTTTAGCCTTGTCCCTCCTTTTCATAAACACTCGAATATCTTTTGTCAACCAAAGAGCAGGAAGACATTTTATTTTAATACGCCGCATTGGAGCATGCACGTCGTATAACTCTGTCAGAAGTCTGTTAAAAAGCTTCACTTGCTCATCAACACTGTCGATATCGTAAATCGCCAACCAGTCCTTGTTCAATCAATCTGCACGCAGTTGGTCCTGATTGATATTTGCATAATTACGCTGAAGTTGTACCGTTGGCTTTAGCTTAGGAGTAAGACAACTATGTTTAAAACGGAGAAATAAACAAACTAAAAATAGTCATCTCATCATCCCTATAGACGGCACGTAAATTGAACCAAAATGGCGCTTTCCCGCGCATGTGTCTGGTATACTGCGTTCTTATTGTTAGGTGCTGCGTCTCAACCCCGCACCTCGGTTAAGATCCTTAATTTTTTTCAATATTAATCGCAGTTCCTTTCAAAGTGATAGGGATTAATGTAATTATAAGACTTTTGAATTCGCAATCGCATTTGGAACGAATGAATCTAGAAATAAATCATTCAAATGTCAAATTGCATGACATATTGATTGTAATAGATTTTGTAATTCAACAATTGACCCTCTGAATTTTTGCTCATCTAACATGCAGCGCATTATATGAGATATAGGGTAATCTCGTATATAGAGCAGCAAAACTATTTTTGAATAGCTACTCACAAGCCATTATTATTATTATAAAAGTTTACAAAATGTAGCTCGGTTGCATAATGGATAAAAGCCGTGGCCTACGATCATTGTTGTTAAGCAACTTTCGCAAGGGTCAGTCACGGGATGGGTGATCAAATCAGTCCGCCGCCGTAAAGCCGTCAGTCTCAGCTGCATTTGCAATCGTTAAAGTCCTCCAAAAGCTTGGAGGGTCATAGCCCATCCTCCTTAACCATTCATAAGGAAGGCCTGATACCCTGCAGTGGCGACGTAAAAAAATTGATAAAGAAAAGAAAATAAATAATGATAACTCTTTTAAATACAGCCTATTTGGATTCGTTCATAAAATAAATGACAATTATAAATAAGTCAGCTGATGGACTGAGTCAGCTGAGTCATTCCACGGCATTATTTAAAGTAAACAAAGAAAAAAATTTTTTTTTAATAACTATCCTTCTTTCACCATGCAGCTTTTTTATCTTCAGAATTAAAAAAATGTACATTTTATTAAATAAAAATAAACATAATTTCCATTCTTCGTATTTTATTTAAGCTAATTGCTAATTTTAAGTTTCACATTTATTTTTATTAAAGTTATGTAACTTATGCATTTAATCTGCCCAAAACAAGAAAATCAGATCTACATATAATTTGTGAAACTAAATGTTTCAAAGATTTTGCGATTACTTCTACTTAATGAGTCAGCAATTGCTTGTTTAAGAGATATAAATCGCAAATTAACTTTATCATAAATCAAATGTAATGCAATTGTCGTAAATGGTTGTTATGAAATTAAATGACCCAGGATATTTGTAACCGAGTAGATTAGATTTCACTTTATACTTTACTAATGTAATCATCAAAGTGCACTTCTGTTTGTTTATAATAATATTTTGGCCGCTTTATGTTTTCGTATTTTATCATATTATTTTCCTTTCACCTTTCTTCATGTCTAGTAAAATCAATTACTCTTTTTATTTCAAAGTTGTAATATATAAATATAAACCACCATCCTATAATATGCTAATATTGTGCGATGGTGGTTTATATTTATATATTATAATATATAATGCAGCACTGTCTTGTCATAGTGAAACCAAATATAATTTACTTTGAATGTAATAAAGACTTTTTTTCGAAGCTCTATGAATTGAGAGCCATGCATTTGACTACTAGTTTCAAGTTGTTTTATAACAGAATATATATTACAATCTCAAGTAGCCATACAAAGGTATTTTGGAAATCTGAAACAAATCAGGTGCAACACCTAGATAACGAAAACAAAGAAAATTTTATTTAGTTTTAAATTCAGACAAAATCGTAATACAAAACTAGTATTATAACAGAATTGTATCTTCGAATCTAGTATTCTTATCGAGCATCTACTTGTTGAATAAAAATCAGCGGGGCACAATACAAAACACACTGAATGCTTCGTTGTGTTGACTCTATGCAAAAAAAAGTATTTCGACCTAGGATACATTTACAAATTTAATTTACATAGCATTTCACACTGACAATAGAATATATTCAAATTTGGAAGCAGTTGATTTCAGATGTTTTCATAAAGAAAAATAAAAATATTTCGAATTGCTTTGAAAAACTGCCAGTGGCTTCTAACTAAATAAATGACAAACACGCTCTAAAAAGTTGAAGATGAGAAATGTGTACGTTATTTAAAAGTTACAGAAAACACAAGAGCGGCAATACCCATTTGTTCGCTACAACATTTCTTTTGAAAGGGAGAGGAATGTTATCCCGAAACTTTTTTGTGGCGTTCCATCGTCGAAACGATCATCTCATCAGCGAACTCAGAGAATTTGTCGTTGTTCGTTTATTTTTGATTGGGTCCAATTTCATTTCAAAGCAGTTAAGAGTATATGAAAAATAAAAGGTGAACCTAAAACATAGGAACTCTTTTTATAACAGCCTTAAAAAATATTTAATATTTTTTTATAAGGATTTCTATGAAATTCAGCATAATTGAATGTAGAAAAGAAGTAGGCAGTGCTTTAAAATATTATGATTAAAAATATGTACATCCTGCATATCTTATCCATATTATATATACATATTTTTTAATCATCAAGTCATCAAATAAAAAACATTAGATACACTATTATGAGTTTGACTCTTCTGTTTACTTAATATGAGACAATAAAGATATTCAATATGAATCATTGATTATGCTCAAAGTTAAGACTTTCGACAGTTGGATAACCACTGGAAATGTTTATAAAGAACCAGTTTATACTATTTTTTTTTTATGGGATAGAGAGCAGACCTTGCGTTGACAATGATATAATTGCGAAAGGTTTTTTATGGGTTCAAAACTTTGCCACATAAGGATCAAAGCAATCACAGCAATGTTTATTTACAATCTATTTTATTATGGAACAAATAATCGATAAAGCAGTTATTGCCTACCTAATATTATCTGTGGGAAAATATATACAATCACTCCTATTTAAATAATGCAACCTGTAATTGCTATGTCATCAATTATCAAACGCAAAACGGCAACGGCAAAACAAATAGCATTTATCATTCGCAAATCTACAGAGAAACTCCAAAATGAATTACACAATCGCAAATCTGTCAATTATTATGATTAAACTAATTAACGAATGGAAACACATGACATGTTTGTAACAAACAAAGTTATATATCAAGGTCCAACAACAAAATAATGCATCCGATATGTGTCGCAAGCGAATTAAGTCAGGCCGATCAGTCGATTATTAATTCGCAAAAATAAGAACAAAATTTTCAAGTACACGACCCAGTGCTTTACGAAATTTGGGCCGTCCGATAATTTTCATGCATATAAAAAGTTCTCGTTGGACCCACTACCCATCAGTTGTTCATGTACCGTGGCCAAAGCAAATTCACAATGGAAAAAATAGTAAGTCTGAAAGCAAAATAAGGTTTTAGGGTATATTATTTGATCCAGAAGTATAATCTTAACGAATTCATAAATGGAGCAATACGTTGTATGAATTAAACAGTAGTCGCCCTAATAATTTATTAAAAGGTGATGAAAGTGGCCATTAATTTTAATAACGAATCGAAAGAGACAGTCAAAAATCCCTCGACTTGAGAGATAAATACAAAATTAATTTTAGATTTCATAAATAACTTCATTGTTCAAACAAAATGGTTTCATTCTGCGGATACGGCGTAAAGATTTAGATAGATATATACCTATATATTTAAGTTTTAGTCCGACTTGAGACACATTCAAATTTATTCTAATTTATCATGAAATAGAATATTTTAATAAAAACGATAAACATATTTAAATCTTTAGATTTGTCAGTGAAATCCAGAGCGTTCAGCGAAAGAAAAAATCCGACATAAATTCTTATTTCATTGGCATTTATATTGAATTTATTTTGGCGAAATAAACGATTAATATACTAATTTGTATTTTATTGCTTCAGCAAAATATCCGATAAAAGTAATGCACACTTTAATGGTCTTCTTTTTTCACAGATTCTGTTCAGCGCCATTTTGGCTGTCGCCGCCACAGCTCCTTCTTTCCTTCTGAGTCACGACGCAGAACTTCACGTTCCATTAACATCAAAGTCTACGATAACCAAGAGCAGTCAGCATGTAGACCATGGTAGCACGTTCGTCCACTCCGTTCCGTTAGTCCACGCTACACCACTAGTCCATGCGTCACCAATCGTCCAAATCGACCCACCTAAGGCTGTAATCACCGAAACCAGTTATAATACGATTCTTCATTCCGCACCGGTTCTACATCACACGTATCATGTACCTCAAAAGACTACAGTGACGAAGAGCAATCACTCAATACATCATGGTAGTACTCATGTAGTACACGCTCCCGTGGTACACACTCCTATTGTACCGGTAGTGCACTCTCCAGTAGTTGTACACTCATCCCCGTTGGTCACCCTGAAGTCGGGTGACTCCGCTGTATCACACCACAGTTCAACTGTACATGAAACAGTACCGATAGTGAAATCTTTATCTTTGCTTTCGTATCATTAAATTGTGTTTGTTCTTTTGTTATTATTATGAATAATTATAAAAAAGCAATACTGTGATTTTTATTTATCTTTGATCTGTCCTTCAAAATTCTTAGTTTTGTGTGGGCTACTTTTGATATTTCAAATGGCTTCATGCATTTAGCATTTGAGTTTATTTGAAAATAATGTTTAATTAATTTGAATTAATTATAGCCTATGTCACCTATATAAAATGTAATTTCTCGTAGGCGAAATAATTTCTTGAATCGGTCCAGATTATTAGAATCTATTGAATGCAAATAAACAATCTTTTGTCACTACCTATATATCACCATAGATAAAAAGAGTTTATGATAGCACAGTAGTATAAGCATTCACTCGACGTTTATGGAGATCATGGAATTTAGCGAGACTGAAAATTAATGAAAAATGCTTAAAAAAAATTTCTTCATTAAAATATTTTTTCAATGTAACATTGTGAATCCAAATATAATAATTAGAGCAAATTGTTATCTTTATCGAAAGTTTAAATATTTGTAAAAATATTTCTTTCGGCTGTTTGGGTGGATTGCCTTAACATTGATGAAAATACGCTCTGTAGTAGCAAAAAACTAACAGGTGCTAGAAAAATTGGTCAGTTCTGTTAGGTCCAGGGTAGGTCAGCGATTAGAGCAGTTGCCCGGATTGCGAAAGATTATGGGTTCGAGTCCTATCTCAGAGTGCTAGAAGCAAAGTGTATTATTTAAGCATTTTTCTAAATGTTTTCAATAAATTGTTAATGTTGATGATAAATATGATTTCCTGTCCTTATTTTTATGATTAAAAATCTATGTGTACATTGTGGCATTATACTGAACATTTGCATAAGCCTCCACGCTAGCCCAGAGTGGATTGGAGGGTATTAACGATTGCAAATGCAGCATGGTCCAATAGCTTAACGTGCCTTACTAAGCACCGAGTAGCTCGAAACAATATTTCTTTTGGTTACCCGTCCTATGACCGGATATTTCAAAAATTCGAGGCCATTGCACCTATTACACTAACTAACAGGCCAAATAGAAAGCTTGCAAGAATTAACTAGAGGCTTTATTCCTTTAAATAACGTTTAACAATCGATGACTTGTAAAAACACATCAGCTATTAACACATAATTTGTTTTTCAACATCGTTATTTTATGACGTGAGAGTATTTTAAGAAAACGTTCGTGATCCAACTGTGAACCTTAATGAACGTGGCGCATCCATGAATGAACCCGAAACGCCTCGTCAATTAAAGAGCCTAGTTCAATGTACTTTTATCTCTTTTACAACTCACTTCTATTTTTAGATCAATTCAATTATACGTCAGTTAAATTAGGAAATATCTTTTTTTTATTTGAATAATACGCTGAATTATGTCTCATGACAAAATGTCCTCACGATTGAAATTCTTTTGCTTTGTTATTTATATGGTAGCAATCCCGTGACAAACTGTCATTCCAATTTTTACATGTAGCACAATGCACTTATGTATGTTCGTTTAAATACACATAAAAACTAAATATCACTTTAAAAGTTTCATTTAGTTTAAGCGCAACAATTAAATACTATAAGAACTGATTTGAGCAAATTTTTTGTAAAAGCACAATCCATGAAACCGTTTTTAAATATATAAATTAATCAAGAAAATCAAATAAAACTTAAAAAAATTCTCCTTCGGTATCTCACAAGATTGTTTTGTTTGTGCATAGCTAGACCGTGCTATTATAATAAAAATATTTTTTTACATTCCTTAAATAGTAATCAATGTAAAAATCTCGTTAATTGTAATACAACTATGGTGATAATTATATATTTTTAAATTTACTCCAAAGTAAGCCACGGATAAATGACTGAAAACGACACACTCGAAACTCGCTGTTACATAAATTTATATCCTTTTTAGGTGTCCAATTTATCATTCTCGAAACGTGATAAAATTAAGCAATATCAGACTAATTTATTTTAAGGAGATATAAATCAGATATATTATAATATAATAAATAAGAGGCTTACAAATTACAAAATAATTTATGATACTTAAAATTATACTCTAAAATATGGTTTTTCCATTTAATATTTCAACTTCAAATATAATTGCTATACGTTTATTCATTGGAGCATGCCCATTTAATTTTTTCTTTTAATAAAGACTCTTTGTTTATTTTATAAATAAAACTTATTAAATTATAAGTCTTTGAAACGAATATAGGTTTATATACACTGTTTAGTAGAATTGGATAGATATTAATAAATATATTCTTCCTCTGTCGGCTCCATGGCGTGGTGGTTAGTGCGCTCGGTCTGTGATATGTCGTTAAGCAACTATTGCAATGGCCGGTTATAGGATGGGTGGCCAAAAATTAATTATCTCGAGCTCCTCTGTGCTTCGTTAAGCCTTCGTTCCCGTTTGCATCTACAATTGTTAATAATATTCGATTCCATACATAATAACCCACTTTTACAAACAAACCTTTCATTTTATTTTTAGGGTAAGTCGGTGTTACTATAAAGATGCCAGTGAGGGTAAGTCACTAGAAATTTGCTCTTAAATATGGCATCATACACCGACTCAGCCTATATTATTTATTTACAAAGTTCCGTAGACGTGCCGCTTGGATACGAAAAACAATGGTTAAGTTAGCCATAACCCAACAAAGTGGGCTCTGCGGACTGGTGGGTATTAACAACAGTTGAAGCAGCCAGGACCGATAACTTAACGTGCCTTCCGAAGCACAGATAAGTTCTACATAATTGTTTGTAACATTAGTCGCTTTGTTGAATATGTATATTTCTTTAACTGATACATCGATGCCTTTTTGTCTTTATTGCCTAGATAATAAAATACAAAACTGTCACCTATCCTAAAGAGACCTTTGATCTCTCCGTATTGCAGATATGTGTCAAATACTACGTCATATAGTAACAAAGACTAACACTTTATACCTTCGCAACGTTTATACATTGTTTATTGTAGCCATGCTTTGGCTAGTACGACCAAGACTTATAAAATTGCACAACAATTTTTAATCTCAAACGCATCTGTAACATAAAACGTTTACCTTTACGAACGTTAACACAATACGACAATCTGACTTGCACAATTGAAACAGTTTGCTCATTAAGTCCTTGTACTATAACCACAGAGACAGTGTGATTATAATCTAATCGACAGATCGCATGCTGTTATTGCAAAACTACTAAAATATCGAATCGGGAACTCGATTTGTATTTCGATTTGCGTTGATTATTGAATCTGTTTGGCGAATATATTTTTGTAATCCCTAAGTTTGTCTATCTGTGTCCCTACTAGTACTATAAAGAAAAAAAAAAATATATATATATACTAGTTGTTTGCCCGTGACTTCGTACAGGTAAATTATAACCTATATCGACCCCGTATGCTGTAGCTACCCGTAAGAAAAAGAATTTAAATCGGTCCAGTAGTTTTGGAGTTATTAGATGCAAACAAGCAATTAATAAGGACCGCAATGGATGTGTTCTATAATCACTAATTATATGTACCAACCTATGTATATCCTACAGACTTTGAAAGTTGTATTTATTATTCTTTTAATTCGTATAATATTGGTAATGATATCATTTAAGTAAATTACTTATGATAAAGAGCTGGTAAGTTTCTTTCGCTTGTTCTTCTTATCAGCCAAAAGACATCCTGCACAAGTGGTAGGGGAAATTTTTTTTTGGACGATTCAAAAGTTCTTGTAACAAGCTTATTTGAATAAAGACATTTTCATTTCACTTGATTGCATTAAATCTTTACAAACAATTAAAAAAAAAATCTCATGTGCTTATCAACTATGCCAATCGATGGCATTTGGGTAGCGAAATATCGATAAATTGTGAATTGACCTTTTGGTTGCCCCATTCAAGGCAACTCTGCTAAAGATCTCCATAAGATTTAAACGGCCTTCTCGCTATGGGAGACAATTCGATTTGAAAATTTGATAATAACACGGTAGTGGAAATAAAGTTAACAAGATAACTTTGCTTTTAATTAGATTTATTAGCATAAAATATTATATCCGTGGGTACAAGAAGAAATAAAAGATATTTTGCGCCTATATGTCCAAAGTCCTCGAACCGTCTTCGTATAAAAAAAATCATACCGTAACGACGCTCTGTCGTAACTTCAAAGAAAAAAAATAACAAATACAATTTCACATTTATAATATTAGAATTTATAAATATGTATATTATAAAACTAAATAATAATATACAAATAAAATGCAAAAAAGATTATACACATTTAAAAATCTCGTTGGCACAGTAGTTGGTATGATCATTTGTGTTATTGAGCAATCTACTATCGCTATAAATAGCTTTTGCAAAAACTAATTATTGGATGGCAAACCAAAAAAATATTATCTTGAGCTCTTTCACGATTTGGAAAGGACATAACCCGAGGATCACGATACAGTGGTTAGCACGCTCGGTCGTTTCGCAGTGATCTGTCATAGGGTGACCAAAAACTTATCATCTCTGCTACAGAAGGCACGTTAAGTCTGCAGTCCTTAACACCCATCAATCCGCATTGGGCGCGCGTATTGGGCCATGGTCAGAAATATTATTAAGCAGTACCTTGAAGTCAAGGGCAACTGGTAACTCGTGAGAGGAGAACAGGCAAATTTGTGAGAGGAGTCCACAGTAGTGGTCCAAGGGCAGACCCCTGTGGAACTCCTCTCCTCCTTCTCCATGGGGTACGACTGGGCTATTCGCGGAACACTGCTCAATAATATTTCTCCCTAATCGATTTGATTCGATTCCATCCATGCGGAAGGCTTGAGTCCCAGCATTAGGAACATTAATAAGCTGGTGATAATTATTAACTTATTAATCCCGGTTACACCTGCAATATCCACATTAGAGGCAGTCTTATATGCAAAGGTAAGAATTGTGCCCTAATATTAAAGATATATAGGCTGAAAAGGTAAAAGAACTTGAATGCTATGTACATTAAATTATTAAAAATTGTTTAATGAA